TTCCATTTAATCTTTCATTTTAGATTCAGTCAAAGAAGACCCAGAAACCTTTTTTGCTTACTGTTCCAATTTTACAATAGTTGACTGTGGTGGTTGTTTTTAACTGATCATCAGGTGCAACCGTTGCAAACAGCTCATTTTTTCCTGACTAAGTAGATTGACAAATTCATAGTCATTAATAGAAATTCAAGCTTCCTGGTGTATTTTTCTCTTTCGTCATCATGGTTCAATTCTACGCAAATAGTCCGCTTAGAACTCGATATAATTCTGCCCTTATTCTGGGAAGAAAAAGAACAAATAAATTTTAAAAAAGCGACAATATAAAGCTCATAGATCAAAAAGTTGGTCATTTTTAAAGACGGGACCATTGATTGATCCTTAAGACAAAAAAAACAAATTAATTGTTCTCTCAATATTTTTCAGCAACGTGTTCCAGTTCAAGCTAAACGATTGATTTAAACTGCCTAGTAACAAGAATACATGTCATGAAAGAGTCACATCTCAAACCTACAATAGATCATTTACTGTCTTCTGGGAATATGGAAATAATTCTGTGGTCAATCAATCAACACTAAAATAAGTAAAAAGCAACCAAAAGTCGGCAAAGTTATAATGAAGTCCTTAGCGCAATTATGAGAAAACATGAACACGGAACAACAGGGCGGAACTGAATGTCGTTTATTTTTTTTTAAAACTGTTCAAAAATATGATTTTCAGTTGGTTTATAATATCTGTTACAACACACAATAATATACCAAAAAACGCCTACAATACTGAAAATGTCAGAAGAAGTTTCAAAAGTTAACTAAAAAAATTGATATCGTAAGCTCTGCCGATACAATACAATTAGAAATAGTATTAAACAAAGAAAAAATTTTGGAAAATCATAAACTAAATGAGAATTCTATAGACTTGAAAATTGTAATGCAGAAAATCAAAAGGCCCAAAACTGGAATGTAGATTTCGGGCACTGGAACTGCTGAGTGAACATCCTTGAATTTTCATATCGTTTATTATAAAATAGAATTTAAAATTTCTATGCATATTTTTTAGGCACAGGTTAAGTACTCTGAATAACTATGGTAAAACCAAATAAAGGGAAAAAGAAAGATACCAAACAAAGAATGTCTGAAATCCAACTGTAAAAATCTGATTTCTTTATTTCTAGATGAGCTTCAAGAAAGATAAAAAAATTTGTTTTCCTGGTTTAGAGTCGTTCCAGTGACGGTGCCAAAGAACGGCATAAATCCTGAAGCATTAAAGTCCAACGTCTCCCATTACCATCTATTTAATAATAGTGATCTCCGAAGTATATATATATATATATACAATTTTTGTTTCAGATGGTAATGCGGCTAATACTTATGACAGTGTATATGCTTATGTATTTTACTTCTTGTATGACGACAAATACTAAAATTGAAAGGAAAACTATTGTAAGTCCAAGAATACTACGGACAAAAACAGAACAGCCTAACAGACAGTAACGTGACTTAGGTGTGGAAAACTGGAAAAAAGCAAATGGTGTCTCGCCGACTGGAACCATATGGCGATTGCTCCTTTTACTTTTCGACTTATGTTATTACTATTGCCAAAGAAAGTCGCTTACACATTACAAATCACAGCACTATTCAACTTCCTTAGTGACGAGTAGTATGCGTGAATAATTTCGCCATTTATTCACCATTCAATCACGCATTTACTTCGATACACGCTAACGTTATAGGGAAGTCTGGGACTAATTTTTTCGCTAAAGCACATGTGAGTGCTTAAGTTTTTCTGTTGTCTACTGTTCAGAGACAGCATCGAATCGTGCTTTCTGTACCAGCAAACATACGACTTCTTTTGTAAGATGTAGCCGTTTAGTTACCACACAACTGACCTACGGACGCTAAAAATCGCAACACACGAGACTGGTAAACAACATACTAGTTGCCCAAAGTAAACTGAAGTGGCCTCAGACATCCAAGAAACACCCACATGTGTAGATTCGGTGGAAACCGCAAATGTCAAACTTATCAATCACCGCCTCCTTCATTGCGCAGTCATAGCAGCGCAAAATCGCTTCTTATAACAAAAAACAGAATGTGTTGTGAGCAACTTTCGACGGGTTTGCTTTGCAGGACAAAACTGTGCACTTTTACTAAGACAGTTTAACAG